CTCAGGGAGCCTGATCGTGGGACGCGGAGGCCAGGACGCTACTCTCCGCACGCTGCCGAGTGAGCCGGCGTCTTGGCCCTGGGTGGGCTGCGTAAAAAATGGTGCAATCTGAGAGCAGCTGACCGTAGTTGGGCAAAGCAGACAACGGTGCGAGAGCGCCGGGCTCAGGTGGCAGGGAAGGGGCGGGTTGTTTTGAAGGGCTGGGCCTCTGTGTTCGGTGCCTGCAGTATTTTCTTTGCACCTGGGCGGCACGTTCCCGGGCTCCACGGGAGCCAGATGAAGTGAGGCGGCGGCGGCGCGGGAGAGGCGGGCCTGGAGGAGGCCGGGCGGACACTCCGAGAAGAAAACGGCGCAGAGGCAGGCGGCTTGACGCCCCGGGGACTGGCTGCCTGGCGGGCCGCGCGCCGAAATCGTGCGACCTGTCCATGGTGTTGAAGGCGCCGAGCGCCCAGCTCCGCGCACCCTGTGCCGTGCGCCCTGCCGGGTGCGCTATCCTCGTCCCAGCCTACCCCTTACGCCAGCCAGCAGCCCCCCAGTCGCCGCAAACCCCGGGCCACGGTTCATCGGGTAACGCCGTCCGGCCCGAGGGGAGGCTTGAATGGCTAGGCCAAAGGCAGAACCAGGAGCTCGCTACGAAAGGTCGGCCAAGACCGTGCGCCCACGGGGAGCCCACCTCTGAGCGCAGCGTGCTGGCCAGACAGAGCAAGGGACCTGCTGGTGACCGGAGGACGGAGATTTCTAAAAGACCCGACTCAGAAAAAAACATTTCTTGGCAGACCGGAAGGGGGAGAGTTGCTGAGAGGGAGACATAGGCGACATTCGGGGCCGCCAGCCTAGCATCAAGAGGTTTCCTTCGCGGACCGGCCGCTTCGCGGGGGTTCAGTGCATCCTGTCATTGAGTAGCTCCTCCTGACAGCCACCCCTCACCCCAAAAAAGCTGGGTGAGTGGGCCCCGTCGTCGCCTTCATAGAGAAAGCCCAGCAACCTCACTGCAGTCGAGGGCACTTGGTGTTTAGTTTCCGGCCGGAGGGCTGCGGCGCCCGGAGCTGTGTGCGGATTCGGCCGGTTCCGAACACTCGCTGCCTGCGGGGCAGAGAGGGGCGGGGAGGCGGCCTTGCCTTGCTCACTGCCGCCCGAGGCTGCACCTGCCCCGG